ATTTATCTTGTATACAGTATTTATATAATATTTATATCGTTTTTAATTCGTTTACCAACATAAAAAATGCAAGGATATTTTAAGTTATGGTTGTAATTACATGCAACTCAATAATATGTAATATCTCAGTGATGTTCTTTAACGATGAGCTATGGCACGATTTATCCATCTCTTGGCACTGATTCACGTGCATCTTCCATTCCACCATCCCTGGCCATCCTTCATTGTTTATCATTACCTCTTTTTGTTTTTCAACCTAACTAGACAGGTATTTTTTTATTTTATCCGAGCTGTGAGTAGTTTTGCACAGCGAAAAAAATTCTAAAATCACATGATGTTGCTCACTTCTACCAGGCATTCACGAAGCTTCGGTAAGATTTACATTAGAAACTAAAACGCGAAGAGATGCAGAAACTAACAGGGAGCCAGTGGAAAGTACGGGGGTTCCTATAACGTTTTCCATGAGCGGCTGCCGATTATGTAATAGGCAGCTGCCCCAGAGAGGGGACTTAAGGTGAAACCCAAACACGAGAGCCTGATCGCAAGCTCAACAGACGGCGGTAAGAGGTCTTGTGGGCGGCGGTAAACCAGCGGTAATCGGCTTTTACTAAACACCCCTCCATGAAATAATACCAAGATCAGGAAAGCAACATCTGCTACGTTTTGGGATCCTTTGATCCTGTTTTGTGTCCTGAAATAAAGAAAAAAATATTGAGTTCATAACATTCCTCGAGTTGATGAAAGAGATACAAATAACGTTCCACAAAAGAATTCAACAAAGTTGGATTTATTTTTTCCGCTTTTTCTCGGGTTCTCTGGTCAGTTTTCCTTCAGCATGAGGCAAACACTCCAAATTACACTTTCACCGAGGAAAAGTGGACGAAAAACCATCTCACAGAAGTGTCACCTTTAAGTTCACATAATTATAAGCGCTTTGCTGGCCCACTGAAGCGCTACCTACAATTGCGAGCACTCCAAGTTACGAAGCTATGTTATCGCAAAGTAAAAAAATTGGAAACTTATTTTGGAGCTCATTCGCCAATTTGGCGATCTATACTCGGCGGTCATGCTCCGAGCTGTAATTTGTCTATTATCAAATGTTTATTAACTTGTATCAAATTGAGATGTGTATCTGCATAAAATATTATTTAAAAAAACTAGGCCGTTCTTAAAGTTTTAGTATTTCTCCCTTTGTTGTCCAAGAATCAAGCCTTAAGATGTGATCCTCAGGAAACGCTGGAGTTGCAAATAGATTTCTTTGCCATCAATTCCAGATTTTAGGTCACCATATGGCGTCTTTGAAAGAAGTTGAACTTGGAGCCCTTAAGAATGACTAAGATTCAACTTACCACTGATTCTGGATAAAAACCCAATATTATGAGTCCAGCCATTAACAGTTCTCTTCATGCTCCCAGGCCTCACTCTGGTGCTAGATGTAACTATGGCAGCACGACTGTTGCCTTGCCTCGATCCCAAGGGATGATATAAGTCCATCGCCATGTTATATGACATGGCGGCTGGAGAGGCAGGATCATGTTTTGTAGACCCAGGCTTTCGTTTGAAAGCGTTGCGCGAATTAAAGCCGTTCATGGACGGAACTTTTCGAAGAGGGCGCCCGTATATGTGTATTCCATTTTGTTTCTGTTTACACGAAGCGGAACTCAAAAAGGGCGGTTTTTTCGATTTCTGCTGTTTAGTTCCAGCGGAGATTTTCTCAAACTCGAGTCTATAATGTTTCCTCCACGCCAGTTGAATTGTAAGCGCGGCGACTTCCTTGTTGAGTTCTTCCTGTTCATTTTTTACCTCCGATAATACCACATCGCGTTCGAAACGTTCACGTCTCATCGAGATCCATTTTCTAAACCAACGTTGAATCAATACCGCTGCGTTCACTTTCGAGCGTATTAAATGAAGCCGTTCGCGCTCCCTCCGCGCAAGCTCTGCTTTTGAAATACCGCTGTGTAACTTTTTTGCAGGCGCCAAACGAGGCGGATCATTTTTCGTGACATTAACTCTACGCACAGTATTTTCACCCTCATTTGCGAACGAAAATCCTTCGTCTAATTCGAAGTCTTCTTCCAACAATAACGACGAAACTACTCTCACCATCTCGGCATCATTCTTAAAATGAAATCTGTCTTCGGATTTCCGTCCTGATGATGGACTTTCCGAGGAAGACCAACTTTCATCCACTTTTGCTTCTTGCAGTACATTAGTGACATGTCTTTCTGTATAATCTCGTGGACAAGTATTGTCTGTTAATAGTTTATCTTTACTGGTACTTTCATTTTGTGAATGTCTTCTTTCTTCAGTAAACGGCGGCAGTGCTTCTTCCATATTTTCCTCAGGAAAGTCTTCAGTGAAAACTTGTAAATGTCGTTCATTGTCAAAGGCGTCAGTTTTCGTGAAATCTCTGACAGCACAGAAAAAAAATTCGGATCAATGTTAATAACAAAGCAACTACGCACCTACCTCTCCCCTAACCCAACATTCACCCTTACCTTGTTATCAGTTGACTGTTGTTGAGTTAGGGGAGGGGTAGGTGCGCCATAAAAAAAAAAAAAATTTCGCTGCTCGATACAAAAGGAAAAAAAACTAATAGCTTTAAGCATCTAACACTTAGATCCAGTGGGACGATTTCGCAGATTTGATGTGACTTCGCTAAGTTTTCATCAGCAAAAGTACAGCAAAAGTAGTTGAAATGGCTGTTGATTACAACAACTCTCTCTCCCTTTAAAGGTCGACAAACCAGAAGAAAGTTAGAAATTATGTTAGCTGCATACAAAAAGAAACCAGGGCCCCCTTGTTCATAAAAGGCGATCCTTGTTTTGGGTTTTTGTCTTGTTCTTAGGCAAACCTGGACGTATGGGAAACACAGTGGCCGATCGGTTAGTGAGTCGAGGGGCCTGGGTTCAACACCAAGCTCCGTTCAAAGTGTTGTGTTTTTGAGAAACAGACTTTACTCAGATGGTGCCTCTCTTCACCCGGGAGTATAAATAATTACCGGCGGCAAACTGTAAGGGAAGTCTGATGAAATGCTGGTGGTGGACTAACATTCCATCCGGGGAGGAGTAAGTAATATTCCTAGTCGCTTCACGCTACAGAAACCAGGGATAAACCCTGGCTGAATGGGCCACTTGGCGAAAGTGAAGTCTTGACTTTCACCTTTTTTAACCCTTTAACTTCAAAGATCTCATTAGAAATTCTCCTTACTATCTGCCAAATAATTCTTATTACGTTAGTTTGGAGAACTTGGTATCGGATCAATTAGTAACCCCATTATTGATATTTTTCTTTATTCTCATCACTTGTCTGCTTGATATTGTATAGATATAGTAAGGAGAAATTCTGTCTTAATCACTCACGGGAGTTAAAGGGTTGAAGCGACTGGGTGCATTATTACTCACTCTGAATGGGACGATAGTCCATTAATGTTATAGCGTAAATCCTCGTCATTTAAGAGGTCTACACATGAACAGTTTCAGATTATCGTTTCTCTGATAACATCAGCTTCTTTTGTTTGTTTTGATAAGCCTCTTCCATCTACATTTAAAATACCTTGGAGATGCACTACCAGGGGATACGCTGTAAGGAGACTGGTTACCAAATATGTCCCCAGTCCTTGCAGCACTTGCTCGTTTCTGCCCTTTCAACTGCTCGTGTCTCAAAAACAAATTCTTCTTGTCTTGAAATGCCTTGCGGACTGTGTAACCACGCCAACACTTCTGAACTGTCGTGGCAGCAATGTCCTGGATTCCGTTAATAGTCAAAGCTCCTTGTTCGATCATATACTGTTCAAACGACAAAAAAGAGCAAAATTTTGCGTTCAGCATCGATTTTCTAAAGGATCAATCCCTAATAAATAAAGATTCACGTAGAGATTTTGAGCAGCGAAACGTCCAAAATCACTTTTCCATTTGTCCTGATCAGAACTCTTTGCCGATTAGAAAGTTAGTAAATATTTAAGCACAAACCAGGGTTTATTGCAAGGCGAAGCTTTGCGGGATTCCGCGATTTGAAAAGAAATGCTGCATAAAACTTACGTCTAGGCGTCAAAAGGGGTGTAAGAAACTGTACCCAAGGATAAGTACTTTTTTAAAGTACTGTTCATTTTTTTATAGTTAAGCGCTGAAAATAATGACTGACCACAAGCTCTCACCAAGCCTCTCGCTGTTTCATTTGCTCTTCTCTTCTTGTTATCTCACTAATGTGACTCTACAAATACGTTTAAGCACCCTCTGAGGTAGCACCCTCTGAGGTACCCCATTGTTGAGCCACTTTTCTTGAAAAGGCCCATTGACATTACAGTGGGGAGCCTACAAGGCCCTCTTTGGCCATTTTCTAGAACAAACCCTACAAACCTGCGCTACATCCTGGTGGTCACCAATAATGGCATAGTCGAGAGGAGTCAACCTGGAAGAAAATACGAAAAGGTTGGTAGCTCTCTTACCCACTAACATTCGGAGTAATAAACAGTAAGGCCTTTGGAAGGGATACTGCATGGGCAGCCTTCTTTTACACCTCATAGAAACAGACCGTGGTTTAACATTGAGGGTTGTTGAAAGACTTGAAGAAAGCTGACTATGTTGACCACACTTTTCCGTGTGAGAAACATAAGGAAGAGGGGGTCATTGCGGTTTTTCCTTAAATGTGCACGGTCTTCGAACGCAAGACTATTTCTATTTTTG